AAATTATCAGGTCCCTGTGCTCCGGAAAAAGCAGGGATGAGAAATGAGGAAGGCAAAGGTGCATGAGAGTCAAGATTTAATAAGAAAGTTGGTAATATCAAAGAGGCGCAAATGGGGCCGCGTCAGGGTTCGGGTAGGCATGTCTAGGGATAATATCGAGACACGTGGACAGGTTCAAAGATAGAAGTTGGGTTATGTAAAGGTAGATCAGGGTGATGATTGATCAGAAAGCGGCAGGCATGAAGCTGGCTAACCTGGCAGGAAATTTAACAGAGGGACCTCACACGGAATGACATTTATATTTAGACCGTGGAGGAGCATCGCAATGATAGAGGTAGGGGACAAAAGTATGGGAGTGCCATCACCAAACAAAGACCAGACTCGGAGGAGCGAATGGAGTATGCATATGAGAGAAAGTAAGTGAAGTTCCAATAATTGTAGTGTATAAGTTTAAACATTTAAGAACTTACAATACTATCAAGTGATTCACAAATAGTCAAAGCAAGGGAATCACCATTATACGAAATCCACATAGGTGCAGTAATAAGATAGCTACCATGGTGTAAACATAGCCGGCGATTTTAACTCCCTCCTTCCACTCCAAATCCCCGCTTTTCTATGTTGACGATATGGATCCATGGACATCGATTGTACTTAAGTTGAATCGAATCGTTTATTCGCATGATGCAAGTAATGGAAATAATCTGTCACCACAAGAATTCTAACGTCCTCCATTTCCTTTCGTCATTCATTCGAGGCTTAGGAAGCGGTAGGACGCCGGGCTTGTGATCGAAGGGTTGCGGATTCGCGCCACGGCACGGCAATGTGTTGTATCAATGAGCAAGATACTTTACTCCGCTTGTTCCAGTCTACTCAGCTGTAAATGAGTACGTGGTTGGGCAGTGCTAGAATTGTTGAATGCTAGCTGTTAGCGCCGGAATGGCTCCGGCTGTATGCTCCCCTGGGAGTTGAGAAATGTATTGGCTAGTTGCAAAGGCCCTATAACCACGGATAATAATTTGTGAACCGCTTTTAGACGACCTACGAACTAGGCTGTGATAAAGCGTTATATAAGAACCTCCAATTTTTTTTTTTTTTTTTTTTTTAAAGCGCTTTAGAGTTAGCTAGATAGGGCGCTATATCAAATGTTGTATATTTATTTTTTATTTATTTATCCGACGATAATTTGCTTTCCCTTTAGACGATAAGTGTCTAATATCAAAGACAATACTATTTTGGTACATTTTATTTGGTTTTAAGAACATCTCGCATGGAAACTTCCTGTGCAAGTTTCAGCGAAATCTGCGAGTCGCACCATTGACTCTTTAATTAGAAAATCCAAGGGCTTCATCCTTAGATCTTAAGTTTCTATTTTCCCCGCAACGTTAATACAACACAGAAAACGACTAGTTAATTAAATGTTATAAAAATGTATAAAATTAATATTGTCTCTATGTTGTTGTATCCCTTGTTTCCATGTTAAAAATCATCTTATGTTCTCACTAATAAGCACCGAATTTTAATTTTTACTTGAAATAAGAAAACAAATATGGGGTCAAATTTCACAAGGGGCAAGGGTAATTTTATTTTCAAATATCTTTTAACTGAAATCTCACACAAATCAAACATATACAGTTTACCTTTTGAATGACTAATGATATTTTGGTTAAAATAAAGTTTATTGAAATAAACGTATTTTAATGATCTCCTTTGTGGAAAAATATCTATACAATTTATCTTTAATTATATATATGTCTGCAATAGAATCGCTGGATCAGTCTATAGAAGTGTTCCAATTGCAAATTTCATATTTTTTTTTTATTAAAACTGAAGCTATACCAAGTATTTCTAAGGAGACGTTTTGGCTGTGTACAGTCAGCGAGAGTTATCGCCCTTAGCACGCGATAAAATGAGTGAAAGCAAGAAAAAGTCTGATGACTTAACGGGGTATTTTGGGTCACATTTCATTGTTTCATAATGTCAGTTTGTATCATATCAAAACGATATTTTATTTTACGTATCCAACTGTGACGTTTAATAAACCAACTTACCAGAGAGCAGGACTATATGTTAACAAACAACGAGTGGGACGCAACTGAACTCACAAAACTTGTCAACAAACCAAAAACTAGCCTACCATGGGTTACCCCCGAAATAGAAATTTAATCCGGAAAATTATAGACCAATTTCACTGAAATGCCTTTGCAGTAAAGTAATGGAGCACATCGTCGTTTCTAACATCATGACGCATGCTGATAGAAACAACATCTTGTATCCGTTCCAACATGGCTTTCGCAAATTTCGAAAGTCAGTTGATCGAATTCATCGATGACATATCTAGAAGTCTTGCCGAAGGAAGCCAAACTGATATTCTCATTATGGACTTCGCCAAGGCTTTCGACAAAGTCAGCCATTCCCTACTCATCCACAAACTAAAGTACTATGGTGTAAAGGGAAAGGTAGTAAACTGGATTGAGAATTTCCTTCTTGGCAGAAAGCAATCTGTAGTTGTGGAGGGGAAAATGTCTGACTTCGTTAACGTCCAATCTGGTGTGCCCCAGGGATCGGTCCTCGGACCAAGTTTATTTCTTTTTATTTCATTAACGACATCCATGTGGGCCTAAACGCTACTATCCGCTTGTTCGCAGACGACACTATCGCTTATCTAGTCAAGTCTAACAGTGATGCTGAAACTCTACAGCAAGACTTTGACAAACTGGCGCTCTGGAAAAAAGACATGGAAGATGGCCTTCCACACGAGCAAGTGTAATGTGTTGTCTTTGAACAAGGGGGAAAACCCCATTATCCACAATTACGTCCTCCATGGGTATACGCTAGAACACGTAGACAAAATACCTGGGTGTTACAATTCAATCTAACTTAAAACGGAACTCCCACATAAATAATATTACCAACAAAGCAAATTCCACACTTGGCTTCCTTCGTCGAAATTTAAAAATATGTTCAACATCAGTTAAGGCACAGGCATACTATTAGTTACACGGATTTTTGGCAGGGTATACGGGATGGTATGACCCTAAAGGGTTTCGTATTTCCTGAGGCCGATAGGAAATAAGAAATCCTGTAGGGTCATACCATCCCGTATACCCTGCCAAAAATCCGTGTAACGAAATTATTACCCCTTTGAGTCTTTTATAATAAAAGCGAAGAAAAATAACAGGCACAGTACCTCATTTAGTTTCGTTTTATCAAATTCCTTGAACTGTTCTTCCTGATTCTTTTCTTTTAAATACGTCCTCATCATGTTTGCCGCTCGTCTGTTCGACTTTTGTGTGTTATGTGGCACATCGTTAGCCCTTTTGGCGAGTATTTCCTCATCAGTATGCGAAGCGAAACGTTTTGCCATTTTGTAAACAGCGAAGCAGACGACGAATGCGAGTTGTCTCCCGATGCCCGGCCGCAAGATACAAAGACACGTGACCCGTATACTCCTTGTAAAATCACGTGATTGCACCGTATTACTGCTGAGAATCACGTGACATGACCGAATACCCCCTGAGATTTTCGTATACCCCCTGAGATTTACGAATGCGGTTTGGTACACTGTAGTATTTAACCAATCAGATTCCTAGATTTTTATCAAATGGGTAATAAAAATCATTAGTCCGGCAATCCCTAGAGTATGCCTGTCCTGTTTGGGACCCATACTCCCAGGATAACATCAATAAGATTGAAAGGGTACAGCGCAGGGCTGCTCGTTACGTACTAAACAAAAACGTCTACACTCATAGAACATCCAGTGTCTCCGATATGTTGAACCATCTTAAATGGCGATCGCTTTGTAACAGACGCAGACGCAAGCCTATGTATGATGTTCAAAATTGTAAACAATCAGGTAGTTATTAGTAAACACACTAGACTAATACCAGCAACCAGGCAATCAAAGCATGCCGATCACCAATCCTTCTAAATGCCACACTGCAGAACCCAGGTCAGAAAACAATCCTTCTTTCCACGATCAATATCTGAGTGGAATAAGATCCCACCAGATACCATATCCTCCTGTTCTACTACTGAATCTTTTAAATCTGCTTTCCTGTCACTGTACCCTCAAAATCAAATCTATATATATATCATTTTTGGCTTTCTCGGAATCAACTAAATCTCATTCTCCCTCATGACATTATCTCTAACTTGTTGAAGTTGGTCATATTAATATTGTGAAGTCACACTAGAATAGCAGTGACGTTTTCATATTCGTATCCTGTACATTTTCCGCAGAAGATGGACTATTTTTTTTTTGAAACATAATAAATATGATATCATTTTTATTTTCACTCGTGCTACCCACCCCTGGAAAGTCAAAATATTCACCCCACTCGTGAATTAATAACGTATTCATAAAAAATCAACAAATCAACTGTTCAATAGTTTAAATGGAATTTCAGATAAAAACAAACTTACATATATATGCAAATTAATAATAAGAAGAATGGAAGGGAAAATATACGTTTCTTTGACTGTAGCATCACCACAAGATCAAATGGTCTAATTCTGAGTAAAAGAAGTGAAAATCGGGGTAGAAGTATATATGTTGCCAGTGGCGCAGTACTTGTACTATAACATAACATCGAAAGTGACCTAGAAATCTACGCCACTGGTAGAAGAGTGAGCCTTGGTATTAGTGTGTGTAGTTGAAACATACAGCCATATCATTAATTCAAACATATATACATATTTTCCATATAAATGTCCATCTATTTCAATAAGTAATTAATTATCGATAATTTTGTAAATATATCTTATTATTCTATGTAAATCTATATATGTTGTACCGGTTCAGGAGAAGACTAATAAAGGCACTGCCTGTTGTCTAATCCCTTTGTAAATTACAATAAAATTTGTTGAAACCAAATACGTGGGTTTTCTCCGGGTACTCCGGTTTCCTCCTAGATTAAGACCACTCGCGCGCTGACACCGGGTGAACAAGAGTGATAATATATTATTTTGTTTTATAATTGTTGTAAGATAAATAAAGTTTATATTCTATAGTCCTGATACCTTTGATATTTAGTACCTGGGCTGGAGTGCACGGGGATCATTTATAACAACTTCAAAAGATTGATAGCCCCATCATGTGAACAATGTAAACATACATATGCTACTGCTGAGTGCAAAGAAACAAAAAACAATCGTCACGTGCTACCAGGATTAGTCCAGTGGGGGAAGGCCCCATGCCTGAATATTAATCGCATGTTAATGATATGGGGAAAAAATGAGTTTCTCTGAGAAACTCCATCGTATATGATATGAAATATCCATGATCCTCGGCACCTTCAATTCAAAAGCTATTTAAACCAATGGGATTGTCATGACGGATTCTGGGCTCAAAAAGGGAAACTATTTTTAACATTCTTTTTTTCCAATATACAGGTAACAGTACGGGCCATCTTGGCCTCTTAAATTGAGTTACTTTTTCACCTTTAGATTTCACCTTTCAAGATTCTTCTCGGCATGTCTTTTTTGACATGTCACATATTATAAATACATGTTAAGAATAGTTGACGATAGAACGGAAAGTTAGATATACTCTGATATTAGTGTATATTGACAATGAAATTTGAGTACACCTTGCTTGACATTTGAACTTTGACATTTACTCTGGTATGCATACAATTAAGTTGGTTGTCGAAAGAGCCAATCAGCGACGGGTGCCCATGACAGGAAGCGAGCCACGATAATTTACACCGGCACAACATCGAAGGAAAGTCAGAAAGAAAAATCAGAAAAAATGGTAAACCGATTTAAATATTTACGATTTCTAATTAGATGTATACATGAATGTTTCATGTATCGAATGATACCTGTATTATCGAGATCGGTTTTGTTTTTATATTGCAATTTGGCTTTAAGATCTCGACATTCCGATCTCGTGTCAACAAAGACTCGTAGCGCGTAATACCATTCATTCATTCATGGAGAAACTTTGCATACAACTGTTCATTCCAGGGAGCAGCTGTTTGGCAGTGGTTGTTATTTAAAACCGATCATATTTCGTACAGGTATAAGCCGTATTGTCATCAGAAGACAATGGATTACAGTGTAGCAAGGTTGGTTTTAAGATCGCACCTGCCAAATGACAAGTTTTTGGGTGAATTTCGGTGACCTAATTTCATACTTGACCACTTGATTGGTTGTACGGTCAGTCATGGTTGGCTTTGTGTATACATTGTGATGGCCGGAAAGATTTGACCTCGTGGTCAATGTGATAAGAGGAATATCATATAACAGGTTTGTAGCAAGGATGAGAAAGTGATCGCCACACCAGGGGCAACATTTTGGTGGTCATTTAGTCCGGAAGTGACCACACGTGCACAAGGGGGAATTCTAGAGGAGTAGACTATTTCTGCTTCAGAAAAAAGATCGACATGTTTACAAGAAGTGCAAACATCTTTTACCTTGATTGACACGACGTGAATTGTGAATTCTTCAAATGGTGATTTTATCAGATACCTTGTTGATAAGATTAATTGGGTATTCACTAATTAAATAGTTAGCATATTTATATATATATAATATCCTATCTATACCGTACCTACTACTTGTTAAAATAGGGTGTTCATGTTTTTGACAACATGATTCAGTCATGATCATCCATAGAAGTGTCTATATACTGATTATCTGCTAATAATATTTTATTTTAGTGGATCTACTTGCTTAAAATATAAAATTCAATTATGTCTGTATATGGAATATAGGTAAGATTAACAATATGATCTCCAACAAGGTAACATTATTCCAGCAAAATTTTTCTTCCCTTCTTCAAAATTTCAGAATTGGTACCCTGTTCTTTCAAAATTAATGGATCCAACAAATTGGATATGCAAGGAGGGGTGGGGGTGGGGGGTTGCAGGAGATGGAGGCAGGGACAAGGAGATGGACTCCCATTTTTTTTTTGTATTGAATATAGTTTTCACAATTATCAAATTTTTAAAATCGCTCAATATAACCCCTTATCAGTGTCTGGTTCATCTAATGCCATTGTGGAGGTTTACACTACTTGGCTGAAGCTGACAACATAGATACCACATGTGCTTATTGTGTTGAATCTGATCCTCACACTCAGACATTTCCTTGAAGGCATTTAATGTGTAAAATAAACATTTCTAGTAGTGTACCCCATTTACCCAGGACTGAATGACACTGATGTTATGATCTAAGATTATCATATTACTGGTACCATAGATCTGCATTAAAAATGAATTTTATTTCTAGAGTATCCTCTGTGTGGAGGTTTCAAATAAGAGGTTCCCTCCCTCATAAATGTGTCTTTTTCCATGGATGTTTTCACATAACAGAAGGTGTGCTGTCTGTATTTCATAGAGAGTTTCCTTATAACAGGTGCTCTCTATATTACAAGGAGGTGTCTTTTGGTATAGATTGTCCCCATGATATCATCTAATTTAATTGCACCTTTTTATAGGGGTTTACACATCACAGGTTTATACCATCTGTATCACAAAGTGTCCTTTATATAGAGGTCTACATGTAGACAGTTTTGTGCAACATCTCTATTCAAGGTGTGCTTTATATGAAGGTTTACACATAACAGGTTTGTATCTATATTATGGGGTGACCTTTATAAAAAGGTTTACACATGTATATAACAGGTTTGTATCATCTATATTTCGAGGTGACCTTTATGAAGAGGTTTTCTCAGATTATGACTGTATGACCTCTGTTACGAGGTGTCCTTTATATGAAGGTTTACATAACAGGTCTGTATCACCTCTGTTACGAGGTGTCCTTTATATGAAGGTTTACCCATAACAAGTCTATGACCTCTGTTACGAGGTGTCCTTTATATGAAGGTTTACATAACAGGTCTGTATCACCTCTGTTACGAGACATCCTTTGTAAATATCGGTTTACTTGTATGTGTATCATTTCTTACAAAAAGTCCTGTGTTAAATACAAGTGACAATCCTGTAACATAAGTTATACTTATTTGTATCAAAAAGTGTCATATTGCTTGTAACATGGAGGTTTTGTATTGCATCATGCCTTGAATTTTGCAAGGCGACATGTCTCTGTTGAGAATCAAACTGATACACCAGATGCTGACTTCATTTCAAAGTGTCCATACGATACAGGTTTCTACATTGCCTTCTGTAATACATTACAATGACATTTTCCCATTACCGGCCCTCTATATAACCAGGTGACCTTTTTATGGAGTACAGTAAGTAGTACTACAAGTTGACCTTTTTATGGAGGTTTTATACCTGTACAGTATTACAAGGTGACCTTTTTATGGATGTTTTATACCTGTACAGTATTACAATGTGACCTTTTTATGGAGGTTATATACCTGTACAGTATTACAAGGTGACCTTTTTATGGAGGTTTTATACCTGAACAGTATTACAAGGTGACCTTTTTATGGAGGTTATATACCTGTACAGTATTACAATGTGCCCTTTTTATGGAGGTATTATACCTGAACAGTATTACAATGTGACCTTTTTGTGGAGGTTATATACCTTGTAATACTGTTCAGGTATAATACCTCCATAAAAAGGTCACCTTGTAAAACTGTACAGGTATATATATAACCTCCATAAATAGGTCAACTTATAATAATGTGCAGGTATATTACCTCCATAAAAAGGGCACATTGTAATACTGTTCAGGTATTACAAGGTGACCTTTTTATGGAGGTTATATACCTGTACAGTATTACAAAGTGACCTTTTTTATGGAGGTTATATACCTGTACAGTATTACAAGGTGACCTTTTTTATGGAGGTTATATATACCTGTACAGTATTATAAGGTGACCTTTTTATGGAGGTTATATATATACCTGTACAGTGATACCAGGTGAAGTATTACAAGGTGGCCTTTTATGTAGGTTATATACCTGTACAGTTTTACAAGGTGACCTTTTTATGGAGGTTATATACCTGTACAGTGATATACAGTGACATTTTTATTGAGGTTATATACCTGTACAGTATTATAAGGTGACCTTTTTATGGAGGTTATATACCTGTACAGTGATACCAGGTGACCTTTTTATAGAGGTTATATACCTATACAGTGTTACAAGGTGACTTTTTTATGGAGGTTATATACCTGTACAGTGATATACAGTGACATTTTTATGGAGGTAATATACCTGTACAGTGATACCAGGTGACCTTTTTATAGAGGTTATATACCTATACAGTGTTACAAGGTGACTTTTTTATGGATGTTATATACCTGTACAGTGATATACAGTGACATTTTTATGGAGGTTATATACCTTTACAGTGATACCAGGTGACCTTTTTATAGAGGTTATATACCTATACAGTGTTACAAGGTGACTTTTTTATGGGGGTTATATACCTGTACAGTGATATACAGTGACATTTTTATTGAGGTTATATACCTGTACAGTGATACCAGGTGACCTTTTTATAGAGGTTATATACCTATACAGTGTTACAAGGTGACTTTTTTATGGAGGTTACATACCGGTACAGTGTTACAAGGTGACCTTTTTATGGAGGTTGTATATATACCTGTACATTATTACAAGGTGACCTTCTTATGGAGGTTACATACCTGTACAGTGTTACTAGGTGACCTTCTTATGGAGGTTACATACCTGTACAGTGTTACTAGGTGACCTTCTTATGGAGGTTACATACCTGTACAGTGTTACAAGGAGACCTTCTTATGGAGGTTACACACCTGTACAGTGTTACAAGGTGACATTTTTATGGAGGTTACACACCTGTACAGTGTTACAATGTGACCTTTTTATGGAGGTTACACACCTGTACAGTGTTACAAGGTGACATTTTTATGGAGGTTAGATACCTGTACAGTGTTACAAGGTGACCTTTTTATTGAGGTTACATACCTGTACAGTGTTGCAAGGTGACCTTTTTATGGAGGTTATATATATACCTGTACAGTATTACAAGGTGACCTTCTTATGGAGGTTACATACCTGTACAGTGTTACTAGGTGACCTTTTTATGGAGGTTACACACCTGTACAGTATTATAAGGTGACCTTTTTATGTAGGTTATATACCTGTACAGTCGTTACAAGGTGACCTGTGAATGGAGGTTACACACCTGTACAGTATTATAAGGTGACCTTTTTATGTAGGTTATATACCTGTACAGTCGTTACAAGGTGACCTGTGAATGGAGGTTACACACCTGTACAGTATTATAAGGTGACCTTTTTATGGAGGGTATATACCTGTACAGTCGTTACAAGGTGACCTGTGAATGGAGGTTACACACCTGTACAGTATTATAAGGTGACCTTTTTATGTAGGTTATATACCTGTACAGTCGTTACAAGGTGACCTGTGCATGGAGGTTACATACCTGTACAGTATTATAAGGTGACCTTTTTATGTAGGTTATATACCTGTACAGTCGTTACAAGGTGACCTTTTTATGGAGGTTACATACCTGTACAGTGTTGCAAGGTGACCTTTTTATGGAGGTTATATACCTGTACAATCGTTACAAGGTGACCTTTTTATGGAGGTTACATACCTGTACAGTGTTGCAAGGTGACCTTTTTATGGAGGTTATATATATACCTGTACAGTGATACCAGGTGAAGTATTACAAGGTGGCCTTTTATGTAGGTTATATACCTGTACAGTTTTACAAGGTGACCTTTTTATGGAGGTTATATCCCTGTACAGTGATATACAGTGACATTTTTATTGAGGTTATATACCTGTACAGTGATACCAGGTGACCTTTTTATAGAGGTTATATACCTATACAGTGTTACAAGGTGACTTTTTTATGGAGGTTATATACCTGTACAGTATTACAAGGTGACCTTCTTATGGAGGTTACATACCTGTACAGTGTTACAAGGTGACCTTTTTATTGAGGTTACATACCTGTACAGTGTTGCAAGGTGACCTTTTTATGGAGGTTATATACCTGTACAGTATTATAAGGTGACCTTTTTATGGAGGTAATATACCTGCACATTATTATAAGGTGACCTTTTTATGGAGGTTATATACCGGTACAGTCGTTACAAGGTGACCTTTTTATGGAGGTTACACGCCTGTACAGTATTATAAGGTGACCTTTTTATGGAGGGTATATACCTGTACAGTCGTTACAAGGTGACCTGTGCATGGAGGTTACATACCTGTACAGTATTATAAGGTGACCTTTTTATGTAGGTTATATACCTGTACAGTCGTTACAAGGTGACCTTTTTATGGAGGTTACACGCCTGTACAGTATTATAAGGTGACCTTTTTATGGAGGTTACATACCTGTACAGGGTTACAAGGTGACCTTTTTATGGAAGTTACATACCTGTACAGTGTTACAAGGTGACCTTTTTATTGAGGTTACATACCTGTACAGTGTTGCAAGTTGACATTTTTATGGAGGTTACATACCTGTACAGTAGTATTACAAGGTGACCTTCTTATGGAGGTTACACACCTGTACAGTGTTACAAGGTGACCTTTTTATGGAGGTTATATACCTGTACAGTGTTACTAGGTGACCTTTTTATGGAGGTTACACACCTGTACAGTGTTACAAGGTGACCTTTTTATGGAGGTTACACACCTGTACAGTATTATAAGGTGACCTTTTTATGGAGGTTATATACCTGTACAGTCGTTACAAGGTGACCTTTTTATGGAGGTTACATACCTGTACAGTGTTACAAGGTGACCTTTTTATGGAGGTTATATACCTGTACAGTGTTACAAGGTGACCTGTGAATGGAGGTTAGCTAGTATTACAAAGTGAAACTAGGTATTGGAATGAACACACCCTGGTAGTTAAAACTACTGTCATCAGGAACTTATTCACATGAAGCTTATTCATATTTGTTCTTAGGTGGATGACTTAAATTATATGGAATACTGTTATGATTTTAAAAAAAACAAAGGTCATCTGGTCTGTTTGATACACATACAAATGTCGACAAAAGTACATCAAATTTCGTTAGAAATAATATCCTTATAATGCTACGTACCAGGATTAACCTCCTTAAGGAAAAGATGATGACGATATCTCAATTAGAACATTGTATTCTACAGGGGTACGGAATAGAGATCAGCAAACCCCCTTAGACATGATGGCACTGTAATGTTATTAAAATAGTTGGGATAAAAAACAAATCTTGTTCAGGCATACACAGTGTAAATGCATCTGGGCAATTACTGCGAGGTGCATTAATGTTGTGATTAGTTTAATCGTATATAATATGTTCCTAAAGATGCTGATCAGACCTCTGCCCCGTGTCTTTATATAATTTGTCCATGCATTTATGATTATGTACACATATATATACAGACAGTGGGTTGCGTGGGCATTTGTGCCACACACCCCTGGGTATGACAGTCTTGGCAAATAGACTAGATAACCAAATTAATGTGAATCTCATAGACAAAGCACTGAAGGTTTTTTTTATATATTTTACTAGACCAGCCCATACTTTTTATGTCTTTCGATTCAAACACTTAGGGTTAGGGCGAATTTGATATGAAATGAAAAGCGATACCAATGGAATGTCTGGCGAGTGGGCGGAGGTATGCCTGCTGAGGGACATGCCCAGTCACATATGGTTACACCTATACTCCATCCCCTCAAAACTCTCATAGGATCAGAATCAGGTGTAAGGTCCTACAGTTTATTTTGTGGTCAGCACTGCTATAAACATTTGATAAATATGCCATAGTTTATACCTCACTGATAATCTTTGACTACTGAACTGAAGTTCATATGAGGTTAAGCTTTTGTTGGTTTTATTAGGCATTATTAAGCCTTTAACTTTCTGTTTATAAACTTCCAATGTCAAAACGTTCACAACATGTACATGTATTAAAACTATTTTATGCCAACTGAATTATTTGACATGATTTGCTTGTTGATACAAAGTATGACTACCTAGCTAGGTAAAGGCAAATAATGAAATTGATTCCACAACAGGCCATCAATTAACAATTTTGTATCAAGATGCAACACAGGTATATAACAACTTACCTATGTAATAATGGATCCTATTGTATAATCACAGAACAGTTTTGCATAAATTTATGATTTTTTTTATAAATACATGAAGTGATATTGTCTTCTCCTGTGAAGGGTCTATTAAAGCTTGAATCTATAATATTTTAATTTAAGAATATTTTTTTGTCTTTTCCTTCGGGTGAACTTTGCTGGCAGGTTGAACTGTTAATTCAATAAAATTCATTAGTTTGAACATCTATATCTGTATCAAAGTTTTATTTTTGAAGAATGGATATATGTAAATTTTGTCCCTTACATATCTTCAGCAATGTTTTACAAAGGTGTAATTAGTATTATTTATTTTTCAGGTCTATCTAAGTTGTAAATGATGCAGTGAACCCCAAATATCCCAGAACATGGGGTTCAGTTAGAGTGGTCTCCTCTTGTTACCATGGTAAATTGGCAAGAGGGAAGCAAAGATGTCAGGAAGAGGTGCTAAGAATTGTTCCGATCAGAACTATGAAGAGATATCGTTGATAGGCAATGGAGCATATGGAACGGTATACAAGGCTCGTGACTTAAAAAATGATGGGCAAATTGTGGCCATGAAACGTATTCGCATCCAGAATACAGAAGAAGGGATGCCAATGAGTGCAATAAGAGAGATAGCGCTACTTAAACAGCTGGAGAACTACGAGCATCCTAACATTGTCAGGTGTGTATCATGCCATAACTCTGTGTGGTGTGTTTTTATATGTTTAAGTATAATAATCTATGTGAATGACGACAATTTGATCCCATGCAGTGCTTCAAGTTTTGATATTAGTTTTCAGTTTGCATTCATAATGGCTATAAATGTGTATAGTTTGATGTTCACTATTTGTCAGTCTTTCATTTAAGTATAGTTATCAATATCTAACAAAATATTAGTATGAAATACTGTATAGCTAAACCCTTTCACCCCTATGTAACTTTAGTAGACTCTACCATTCATTTATATGGATGAGTCCATTATGGTCTACAGTGGTGAAAGGGTAAATGTCCACATTTACCATATTTCGTAAAATTTTGATATGAAATTGATAAAAATTCAGTGAACAATGAACTTCTATTACTGGTTAATACATTACATATATTTTCAGTATATATACTATATAAGCTTCTAAGAGTAAGGAACATCAGCAGTATTCAGTGTCATGACTAACAGAATCTTCCCCTTCCGCAGGAGTGTGACAGAAAAAATTCAGTCCAAGGGGTGCTATTATTGATTGTTTAACCCAAGGCTTACATTATTATGTACATCAGGCCAAGGGTTATACAAGAATCTCATCACTACTAAGGGTGGAGAATCCTCCTGCATACCCTTTTTCCATATGGAGGATAATTTTTTCTCAAATCATTTCAATAATTCCAGGGGTTATTAACTCAATGATGCTTTCTGCACCCCTTTGGAAAGGCACAAGATTAGCTAGTTGATTGGTTCAGGTTAAAACACTGACCAATTGCCTGGCAGATTACCTGTCCTTTGAAGCAGAAGAGCAACACCCAATCCAAAGCCTGTCAATTTTACCATTATAAGATGCTTTTGATGTACATCATAGGATCAAACTATTCTACCTGTATCGTCCACAATGTGGCACCTTATTCTAGTGGTGCAGAAAACATGAGTGAGTGCAAACGTAACCGCTGGAATATTGAGGATGTTCAGTAAGATGTTGGAAAACAATGTTTTTTTTTGCATTTGTGCTCGACATCTAGATCTCTATTAGAAAGCAGATTGTGACATATATAATTGTTGCCATGGTATTATAGTGTGGTTTATTTCCGCATGCTATCATGTACACCCTATATGTGGTTACAGAGCAATCATACCCAAAGGGGTGACTGAGGAATCTGAGGTACCCTAGCTGGTTACAGAGAAGTCTTACCTCAAGGGTTGACTGAGGAATCTGAGGTACCCTAGCTGGTTACAGAGAAGTCATACCTCAAGGGTTGACTAAGAAATCTGAGGTAACCCAGGTGGCTACAGATAAGTCATACCACAAGGGGGAGACTGAGGAATTTAAGGTACCCTAGCTAGGTGGCTACAGAGAAGTCATACATCAAGGGTTGACTAAGAAATCTGAGGTACCCTAGGTGGTTACAGGGAAATCATACCCCAAGCGGTAGACTGAGGAATCTGAGGTTCCCTTAAGTTGTTACAGGGAAATCATACCCTAAGCGGTAGACTGAGGAATCTGAGGTTTCCTTAAGTGGTTAAAGGGAAATCATACCCCAAGGGGTTGACTGAGGAATCTGAGGTTCCCTTAAGTTGTTACAGGGAAATCATACCCTAAGCGGTAGACTGAGGAATCTGAGGTACCCTAGCTGGTTACAGGGAAGTCATACCTCAAGGGGGAGACTGAGGAATATGAGGTACCCTAGCTGTTTACAGGGAAGTCATACCTCAAGGGGGAGACTGAGGAATCTGAGGTTCCCTTAAGTGGTTACAGGGAAATCATACCTCAAGCGATAGACTGAGGAATCTGAGGTACCCCAAGTGGTTACAGGGAAATAATACCCCAAGGGGCTGATTGAGGAATCTGAGGTACCCTACCCTAGGTGGTTACAGTGAAATTATACCCCAAGGGGTTGACTAAGGAATCTGAGGTACCCTTGGTGGTTACAGAAAAGTCATACCCCGAGGTGTTGACTGAGGAATCTAAGGCACCCTAGGTGGTTACAAGGAAAACTTACCTCAAGGGGGAGACTGAGGAATCTGAGGTGGGAGACTGAGGAATCTGAGGTACCCTATATTAGACTGATTACAGAGAAATAATACCCAAATAGGGTGACTTAGGAATCTGAGGTACTCTAGCTATAGGTGATTACAGAGAAAAAATACCACAAGGGGGTTACTGAGGAATATGTGGTACCCTAGCTATAGGTGGTTACAGGGAAAGTGTACCCTAAGGGGGTTACTGAGGAATATGTGGTACCCTAACTATAGGTGGTTACAGAGAAAGCGTACCCTAAGGGGGAGACTGAGGAATATGTGGTACCCTAACTATAGGTGGTTACAGAGAAAGCGTACCCTAAGGGGGAGACTGAGGAATATGTGGTACCCTAGCTATAGGTGGTTACAGAGAAAGCGTACCCTAAGGGGGAGACTGAGGAATCTGAGTGAGGCAATTCTGTGAATGGTATGGAAATGATGATGTCATGATAATGACTAGGCCAATAATATAATGGGGCCAGGTTATTTATACACTGCTGATGATCATATCTGTCAGCTGCTCATTATAGATTATTATATATGTTATAATGTCATGAAAATATAAATAAAAAACAGGAAAATTCCAGGGGTTATATGACACTGCCAATTGATGAGAGTACTTAACCTAGTGTCAAACATATACAAACATGATCCAATGAAATGTAACGATGATACACCCACACACCATCCCTTCACTCTACAGTACCACAGTGTACACACCATCCCTTCACTCTGTAGTACCACAGTGTATACACCATCCCTTCACTCTGCAGTACCACAGTGTACACACCATCCCTTCACTCTGCAGTACCACAGTGTACATACCATCCCTTCACTCTGCAGTACCACAGTGTACACACCATCCCTTCACTCTGCAGTACCACAGTGTACACACCATCCCTTCCCTCTGCAGTAACACAGTGTAGACACCATCCCTTCACTCTGCAGTACCACAGTGTACACCCCATCCCTTCACTCTGCAGTACCACAGGGTACACACCATCCCTTCACTCTGCAGTACCACAGTGTACACACCATCCCTTCACTCTGCAGTACCACACCATCCCTTCACTCTGCAGTACCACAGTGTACACATACCATCCCTTCACTCTGCAGTACCACAGTGTACACACACACCATCACTTCACTCTGCAGTACCACAGTGTACACATGCCATCCCTTCACTCTGCAGTACCACAGTGTACACACCATCCCTTCACTCTGTAGTACCACAGTGTATACACCATCCCTTCACTCTGCAGTACCACAGTGTACACACACCCCATCCCTTCCCTCTGCAGTACCACAGTGTACACACCATCCTGTCACTCTGCAGTACCACAGTGTACACACCATCTCTCACTCTGCAGTAGCACAGTGTACACACACACCATCACTTCACTCTGCAGTACCACAGTGTACACACCATCCTGTCACTCTGCAGTACCACAGTGTA